ACGGCGATTTCAGCTGCTACATTGGAGGTGAGGTAACACCACCTGATGACGCTTGATGAGGCAAAAATGGCTATTGTGGTTGTCCGCTGTTGTTTGTCGGTAATACATTAGTTAGTTAGTTAAATTAGTTTATGATTACATCTGACAAGTTCATTTTAATTCATTAACCGCTGACCGGCATGTCCACAGGTAGGCTTAAAAAATATCTTACTACTGTGACATCCAAGTCGGGGCAATCAAACTAAAACCTGATTGCCTTAGTTCAACGTATGTTAAACAATGTACAGTAGACGCCGTTGATCATGCAATATTTCGACATATGCGAAAGACAAATACTCTTTCGCTAATCGGGATTGACTCCAGTTGTGATACTGATTATTGTTTAGTGTATTCTGAAGTCATTTCAGTCAGGATAGGAAGCCTGCCTTTTAACGAGCTTCGTTCCGACTCCTAGTAAAACTTATCAATTGTAAAAACTGACTATTTAAGTAGTATGCCCTTTTTATCATTGATGTTGACTGCCTTTATAAATTCTAATATATCTTATGGAAAACATGCACGAGAAAATTTTTTTTTGTACTTGTTTGATAGCAAATTACGCGTTCTTTAAATTTTATACTCAATTTGTACTTGTTTGATAGCAAATTACGCGTTCTTTAAATTTTATACTCAAAGAGCACGAAAAAATTATTTCTTGTACTTTTTTGATAGAAAATTACGCCTTCTTTAAATTTTATACTCAAAGAAAGGGTAGTGTGCATGTTTGATAGCAAATTACGCCTTCTTTAAATTTTATACTCAAAGAAAGGGCACGATATCAAATTATGCGTTCTTTAAATTTTATACTCAAAGAAAGGGTAGCTTTCGGTTCATGTTTGATAGCAAATTACGCCTTCTTTAAATGTTATACTTGAAGGAAGGGTAGCTTTCGGTTTTAAATTAGTTGCTAACTATGAGGTTTTTTACGATTGTTAGGTCTTCATCCATAATAAATCGTATCCGTCAATTT